TGTGCCACTCCAAGTAATCAAAATGAAAATGAAATCCCGTCCTGGTGATTCGCGTAACGGGATTTCTAATGATTTTTATTTAGTTCACTTCAAGTCTAGTGAACTAAACAACCTTAAGGCCTTAGAAAAAGCTAGCCTTATGCTCCATGTCCGAGTGAAGTGGGAACACTTCAGGAAGACTGGAGGAAATTTCCAAAACCTCACTCAGTGCCGTAAGTGCCAGGGATGGGGTCACGGAACTAAAAATTGCTACATGCCAGCTAAATGCATGAATTGTGGTGATTCCTCTCACGCAAAGGACGACTGTCCTGTGAAGGAAGATCCTAAGAAATTTAAATGTTCAAATTGTGGTGAAAACCACAAATCCAATTTTTGGGAATGTAAGACTCGCAAAGCGATCCTACAATCTCGTTCTAACCGACAGGTAGGAAACGCTCCACGTTTCCGACCAGGTACAAATTCCTCTGCTGTTAGCAACGGTCAGCGAGGAACAAATTCTACATTCGTACCCGTAGGTACAAATATCACCCCTGCTTCAAATGTTTCATCTGTACCTACTCCCCTCGCTGCTAACAATGTTCAGCTAATGGAGCTACCTATGCTGCTATTGCAGCGGGTAGAAATCAAAATACTAACCAACTTTCTAACGGAAATTTTGACAATTTTGACTTAGGAAGCATTACTGCCCCTAAAATGGAATTTTTACAGAATTCATTAATTGACATGATTTCTGATATGCTTAAACTCCATGTTTGATGCTATTCAAACTGGAGTAAAATTTGCTAATAATATTGTCATGACTTTAAAATTCAGTAATAGATTTTAAAGCATTAAACATTTTAAATTGGAATGCTCGATCTCTTAAAGATAATGAAGACGAGCTATTTAATTTTTTGAGAGTTCATAACGTGCATATTGCCGTTATAACTGAAACGTTCCTTAAACCTGACCATAAGGTTAAAAAGGACGCAAATTACTTGATTTATAGAAATGATCGTCTTGATGGACCCTGTGGTGGCGTTGCCATCATTATTCATAGACGAATCAAACATAAAATTCTTTCTTCATTTGAAACCAAAGTTTTTGAAACTTTGGGGGTTTCTGTTGAAACAAAATTTGGACAACTTACGTTTATAGCTGCCTATTTGCCATTCCAATGCGTAGGCCAGCAAAAGAATTTTCTCAAGGGTGACCTCCAGAAACTTACCCGTCATAGGTCTAAATTCTTCATTATTGGTGATTTTAATGCAAAACACCGCTCATGGAATAATGCTCAAAGCAATTCCAATGGTAATATTCTGTTTGATGATTGTTCTGCAGGTTATTACACTATTCAATATCCAAACAGCCCAACATGCTTTTCTTCTGCAAGAAATCCCTCAACTATTGATTTGGTCTTAACTGATTCATGTCATCTTTGTAGCCAATTGGTTACCCATGCTGACTTCGGTTCTGATCACCTTCCAGTAACTTTTGAAATATCCCAGAAATAATTTCTAATCCCAACAGCTTTACTTTCAATTACCATAGGGCTGATTGGGAGCAATATCGAACATTTATGGAATATAACTTCGATCCAAACATTCCTTTGCAAACCAAAGATGAAATTAATTATGCTCTTGAATCTCTGACTACTTCTATAGTTGCAGCAAGAGCTGCCTCAGTACCAAAATGCGAGGTTAAATTCGATTCAATTATAATAGACGATGATCTTCAGCTCTTGATCCGTCTTAAAAATGTCCGTAGGAGACAATTTCAAAGAACACGCGATCCTGTCATGAAAGTTATCTGGCGGGATTTGCAAAAACAAATTAAAAAGCGATTCTCTGCCCTGAGGAACAAAACTTTTGAAAATAATGTTTCTAAATTAGACCCGAGTTCCAAACCCTTTTGGAAACTCACAAAAATTTTGAAAAAACCTCAAAAGCCTATTCCAGCGCTTAAAGAAGGTGGTAAAATTTTGATCACAAATTTGGAAAAAGCTCAGAAACTTGCTAAGCAATTCGAGAGTTCCCATAATTTCAGTTTGGGTCTTACTAGTCCTATTGAGAATCAGGTTGCTCGGGATTATCTGAATATTTTCTCTCGGGAAAATATTTTTGATGATTGCTGGGGGACTGATTTGGACGAAGTAAGGTCTATAACTAAAAAGTTTCAAAATATGAAAGCTCCAGGTGATGATGGAATTTTCTATATCCTCATCAAAAAACTCCCAGAGAGTACCTTGTCTTTCCTGGTAAAATTATTTAACAGATGTTTCCATTTGGCATACTTTCCTGATAAATGGAAAAATGCAAAAGTTGTTCCAATTTTGAAGCCGGATAAAAATCCAGCTGAAGCTTCTAGCTACCGCCCAATAAGCTTGCTTTCTTCAATAAGTAAACTTTTTGAAAAGATAATTTTGAATAGAATGATGCTTCACATCAATACGAACTCAATTTTTGCAGATGAGCAGTTTGGATTTCGCCATGGGCATTCAACTACTCATCAACTCTTGAGAGTTACCAATTTAATTCGTTCAAACAAATCTGAAGGCCACTCAACTGGAGTTGCTCTTCTAGACATAGAAAAAGCATTCGACAGTGTTTGGCATGAAGGTTTGATTGCTAAATTGAAAAAGTTTAATTTTCCACTTTACATTATGAAATTAGTTCAAAATTATTTAACTGACAGAACTCTGCAGGTAAATTATCAAAATTCCAAATCTAATCGACTACCTGTTAGAGCAGGAGTTCCTCAGGGTAGCATTCTTGGGCCTATATTGTATAACATTTTCACTTCGGACCTCCCTGATTTGCCTCAGGGTTGCCACAAATCTTTGTTCGCTGATGACACAGGCATTTCCGCTAAAGGAAGAAGTCTTCGTGTTATTTGCAGCAGACTTCAGAAAAGTTTAGATATTTTCTCTTCTTATTTACAAAAATGGAAGATTTCTCCCAACGCTTCCAAAACTCAACTTATAATATTTCCACATAAGCCCAGGGCTTCCTTTTTGAAACCTAGTAGTAGTCACATAGTCACTATGAACGGAGTTCCAATTTCCTGGTCAAACCAAGTGAAATATCTTGGATTAATACTTGACCAAAAATTAACTTTTAAAGATCACATTGAGGGAATTCAAGCCAAATGTAACAAATATATAAAATGTTTGTATCCTCTTATAAACAGGAAATCCAAACTTTGCCTGACGAATAAACTTCTAATATTTAAACAAGTTTTTAGACCGGCCATGCTTTACGCTGTGCCAATATGGTCTAGTTGTTGCACTACCAGGAAAAAAGCACTTCAAAGGATTCAGAACAAAATTCTGAAGATGATTTTGAAGTTGCCTCCCTGGTACAGTACTACCGAAGTACATAGAATTTCGAATGTTGAGACTTTAGCACAAATGTCCAACAAAATAATTAATAATTTCCGGCAAAAATCGTTACAATCCTCAATTGCAACGATTAATTCCCTTTATACTTAGATAAGATTTAGTTTTAGTTATTTAGTTTTAAGCTATCAATTGTTATACTGACATGCAGGTTTAAAAAACCTGTTTAAAATACTGAATTGCCAAGACAGGAACAATGTAAAAACACTTAGATATATATCATAACAATTAAGGCTGGTAAGTTACTGTAGTAACTGGAGCACCTAGGTTAAAAATGAAATGTAATTTATTTTGAATTTGGAACAAATAAAGAGTTAAAAAAAAAAAAAAAAAAAAAAAAACTAGCCCACAGCTGAAAGTCTCGATAATAAAGAAAAACTAAACTTAGCTTCACAATGTTATGCGCACGCAGGAATGGACCGCTGTTAAAGCATCGTTATTACTTTCAATACAGCAAAAAAAAGTTTATGCACCCCCTACCAATTTACATTTTTTTTGTTTTTCTGCTGAAAATCAGTTTAATTTTATGAGTGTTCCTTCATGATTTATCAAATAATGTTTATTTATCACATTGTCATTGAAAATACGGCGTTTATATCTTTTTATGAAATTTCATGTGATAAATTTTGAAAAAGGGTAAAAAATTACACAAAAAAAGTTTATCCACCCCCAAACGGATACTACGATTTAAGTGTGTTTTACAGAGTTTTTGTGTGTATTCTGCAACTTTCTCGAATGAAAACATTGTGTCTAACTGTCATTTTGTACTCTTGAAGTTTTCGTGCTCAAAATGTTAATTTCGTGTTCAAAATTGGAAGTTATTTTGGGCAAAATGCCCAAAAACGCACAAATTTGATTATTGAACATCACAAAACTGGCTAAAGCTACCGTGATATTGCCAATATTGTCCAGTTTCATAAAGATATGGTCGCTAGAATTGTGCAGATGTACAAAAAGCGTGGTTCTATCTCACCAGCTAAGCGATCGGGGCGTCCTTCAAAGACAACTGACTGAATTGACAGAGCTATCGTGAAGAAGGCGGAGCTGTACCGGGGACTATCAGCTCCGAAAATTGCGAAACAAATTGAAAGCGAGTTTCCCATTCAACTGACATCACAATCCGTACGGAATCGTCTTCATAAGAAAGGTCTTAAAGGCAGAGTAGCTCTTAAGAAGCTATGGTTGTCCGCAAAAAAATATCAAAAAAACATTGTAGTGGGCCCAGGACCACATTTCATGGACCAGTGATGACTGGAATAAGGTGAACTGGTCAGACGAGACGAAAGTAATGCTATTTGCACAGACAAACAGACGTAACTCTTCATTGTTTATCTTCGTTCACGCATTTAACGGTTGATTTGAATATCATCAGTTCCGCGAACTACTCGCCGCAGCGCTGGATTCGGATCACTTTGACGTTTCTATAAATTTTATAGAACTTATATGCTATATTGTTTGCGAGTTAGCGAGCAAGCTTGTTTTCCGCGAGAAACCCGAGATATGTCGTTACTGAGGTCCTATGTTTCGAGATACTATGTTTTCAACAAAAACTTTTTCAAAGAGTTACGTCTGTTTGTCTGTGCTATTTGGGTCTGATGGTATCACAAAAAACGGGTGGCAAACCGGTGAAAGTTTGAAAAAGGAGTGTTTGCGGCCTACATTCAAGCATGGCGGTGGTGAGTTAGTTTACCAACATTGACTTTGATTTGTTTTTTCTACAGGTAGAGTCATGGTGTGGGGATTTATGGCTACATCCGGCGTTGAAAAACCTAAGTTAATCGATGGAATCAAGACCAAGGAGGTTTATTTGGACATTTTGGACAGCGTCTGCACAAAAGCAAAAGTTCGAGCGCAGATATACGTTCCAACAAGACGGAGATCCGAAGCACACCTCAAAGCTGGTTTCGCAGTGGTTCAAGAAAAAGCGTACCAAGGTTATGGAGTGGCCTGCACAGTCTCCCGATCTTAATCCGATCGAGCATCTCTGGTCAATTTTGAAAATTAAAGTCCAGGAGCAAAAACCAACAAGCATCTAGAAATTGCGGCAGGTAATCTCAACTGAATGGGACAAAATCACCCCGGAAACAACTGCTAAGCTTGTTGAGTCGATGCCACGACGATGCCGAGCAGTTATTGATATAGTAGCAATTTAATTATCTTATGTTTTGTGGAAGCTGACATTTGTGCTTATAAAGTTTCACGCCAAGGTTTCCTTAGAGTATCACCTTAAGTCCAATTGAGTTTTCAGATAATTCAGCTTAAGGTGGATATATTAATTAATTGGTTTATTTATCTATTTGTTTGATATGATTTCTTCAGACATTAAGTCTTAAAATATATGATAGTTGAAGTTACGCAAGTTGAAGTAGGCTGTAGCCAGTGTTGCGTGCTCTCTACTATGTCATTTGACGTAAGATATTGGTCTAGCACTGAATTTCACTTCCGACACTGATATTCGTAGTAAGCATGGTATCAGGCGGTACGGCTATAAATATCACTAGGAAAAAGTTTAAAACCTTGCTTTTATCTCAATAAATCTATTTTTTTGTAAAACCGTTGGATTGTTTAAATATTACTGATGATTTTTCCACATATCAGTATTCGATTAGCTGGAGTATATAAGAAAAATGCGGTAGAACTTTGAATAACAGTGATCCCTTTATGATGTCAATGTCATTTACGAACTGACATTGAGGCAAATGATATTGGTATTCTAACTGTGTGAACTGATACTGACATCAGGTGGCTAGTAAAATTCAGGGTTTTGTAGGTATTGATATTGATAATTTGCAGCAGTCTTGGTCGGAAAACACGCTTACATACACGGCGAGATCATTTCTTTTAAATTTTGCAGCTATTGTGTTCACTAAAATGACATCAGGGCAATTCGACGAATACCTCAAGAACGAGTTTAGCAAGCCCGAAATCGTTTCACTGACATATGCTATCGATTTTATAATTGAATAATTACTTGTAGCAATTAGAGTTATGCAATGGAAAACCGTTGGTTTTGGCGAGCCGATGTATTTGGGCAACGCACCACTTCCCTATTGTTTTTTTTTTCCTTTATTTATCGTCGGTCTCTGTTCCGCAATCTAGTGCCAATCACCGACGGACATCGATTGCCATCCATTGACGGCAACCGAATGTGCAGGAAGGCAGCTTCCACACCTGCGTAGGATATCGCATCCATTCACAACACACATGCACCGGGACCAACGGCTTTACTTCCCTTCCGAAGAAAGACGTGACCAGAGATTTTTATGCCTCAGAAAAATCCCACCGATCTCGGCTGGGGATTGAACCCAGACCCATTGGGGTGTTAGAAAGCAGTCATGCTTACCACTACACCACCGGCGCCGGCTCACTTCCTTATTGTGTTGCTTTGTATTTCTAATCACCTGTTAAATATATCAGTTGATTCCCAGCCACTAGCAGGGTTTCCACAGATACAGATTAATCTAAATTTTATTGAATTTTTTGAAAATTTCTGGACCAAGAATCTGTATAGGGTAGGACGATTTTTCATAAATCAAAATTATTATAGGGGAAATGGATGTAATTTCGGCCTAAATGCCACTAATTTGAGCCCATACATAGATTCAGCAATCGACTAAATTTTCAATAGTGACCAAAACTATCCATTAGTACCGTCCCAATAACGCTTTCATCTAGATAAAAGGGATGAATAACAGATTTTTAGCGATGGGCCCAGTCTTAGATCTCTAGGCCAACATTAGAACCATGTCCCATGTATATTAAGTTTTCATTTGCCAGGAATTAGATTAGGGTGTAAATTAAATTATAGCGCATTTTGCACTGAAAATATTCAATCAGAATGTTTTTCGCTTTGCCCAGGGAAAATAAATATTAACTATTATAAATGCAACAAAATGTTGCATTATACAATATAATATCACAACATTTTTTTTTATGTTGGTACTTTGATGTACAATGCTTAATTTCAATTTCTTTATTGTTCTCATGTCCTAGTATAATGTTCAACGTTACCTAGTATAATGTTCACAAAAGTAGTGTTGATTTCTATGCAATAAGATGCACATAACGAGTATCATATATCATACAATATAACATTATCAATCATGTAAACTTATGAAACAATGAAATATTACAAATATTATATGTAACCGTATATCTCTGTTAGAAGAGTTCAGGGGCCACATTGCGCATCTCTAAAAGAAAGACTTTTTGTACGAACGCTTACATAAAAAAGTTTTTCGTTTCGAAATGCGCAATGTGGCCCTAGATTCGAACCCCTTCGGAAACGGTTGTGTTTTAAGTTTGCTCTCTGTTTTGTGCGTGCATTCGCTTTCGCAGAGCTGGCACTCTGACTCCCGGACGGTTAAACGTGTGTGATTGGTGGTTTTCTCGCTTTCTGGGAAGTTTTAAAATCGAGAAAGAAAACTTGATTCATCATGTTTACAAGCATCAGAGGAGATGTCGTTAACTGCGATGTTTATTTTATTCTTTGCTTTTCTGTGGAACAGAAATTTGAGGCTTCGCGTGTGCTAGTTTTTAATTTCAGTTTTGAATAGTTTTGTGTCCCGGGTGCGATAATTTGATTTGGAACGTTTTTTGCTGATGTTGCTTAGGTACCTGATGTGTTCTCGCTTCCCTTTGTTGCCGATGTGACTCGACCGCGCTGATCTATTGTTAAGTTTTTGCGATATGCATTGGTTTTGTGCACAGAGTGATGTTAATATTATATTAACAATATGATCCACTCATTCGCTTAGCTGGCGAACCAAATGTTTAGCGATGAAAGCACCTCTGTGGCCAAAAAGGCTACCAATGTATTTGTTTATCGTCACGAGGGGTAAACCAAATGAAAATTTGTTTAATATTTCAAATGGATGTAATTCAGCATATTATTTTATTTGATGACAACAGTGACATGTCAGACAAATTTTAAAGTAATATACACAATGTAATTAATGAAAATAATGTGACTCTTACTTTTGTAATAAGTGCTATATTTGCACCCCTCGATTGTAATTGAATGATTGTTGCTGACCTTTTTCAACGCTAGATGGTGCGTGAAGCAATATTTTGCGGGTTGCCATTGCAATATTTGGAAAAAAAATGAATGGATCACATTGTTAATATGATATATTTGGTAACTTGTTCCCTTAAATTGTTCAGGACACCCTGTCTTGCCTCAAAATTACCCTAGTACTTCAAACTAGTATTCACAACATAAAGGGAACCAGAACGGTGCATGAGATTTGATCAAATTTTTCGCAGTTCTACTAGTATAACACCCCCGGCTGGGTGAGGGATAGAGGATGACACACACACACAACCGTCTATATATGTTAGAAGTTTTTGCAAGTTGGTAGTTTCCGTGATAAGAAATGGATATTTACATCACCAGTTATACTTTTAGAAAATTATAAATATAATGTGAATGTAATATGAATGTAATGTGAATGTAATGTGAATGTAATGTGAATGTAATGTGAATGTAATGTGAATGTAATGTGAATGTAATGTGAATGTAATGTGAATGTAATGTGAATGTAATGTGAATGTAATGTGAATGTAATGTGAATGTAATGTGAATGTAATGTGAATGTAATGTGAATGTAATGTGAATGTAATGTGAATGTAATGTGAATGTAATGTGAATGTAATGTGAATGTAATGTGAATGTAATGTGAATGTAATGTGAATGTAATGTGAATGTAATGTGAATGTAATGTGAATGTAATGTGAATGTAATGTGAATGTAATGTGAATGTAATGTGAATGTAATGTTAATGTAATGTGAATGTAATGTGAATGTAATGTGAATGTAATGTGAATGTAATGTGAATGTAGTGTGAATGTAATGTGAATGTAATGTGAATGTAATGTGAATGTAATGTGAATGTAATGTGAATGTAATGTGAATGTAATGTGAATGTAATGTGAATGTAATGTGAATGTAAAGTGAATGTAAAGTGAATGTAATGTGAATGTAATATGAATGTAATGTGAATGTAATGTGAATGTAATGTGAATGTAATGTGAATGTAATGTGAATGTAATGTGAATGTAATGTGAATGTAATGTGAATGTAATGTGAATGTAATGTGAATGTAATGTGAATGTAATGTGAATGTAATGTGAATGTAATGTGAATGTAATGTGAATGTAATGTGAATGTAATGTGAATGTAATGTGATTGTAATGTGAATGTAATGTGATTGGTATGTGATTGGTATGTGAATGTGATGTGAATGTGATGTGAATGTGATGTGAATTTAATGTGAATCTAATGTGAATCTAATGTGAATGTTATGTGAATGTTATGTGAATTTTATGTATTCATTGTTGCCAAAAAGATGGTGACCGTTTGGTTAAAATAATAATTACATTCTTTGTTTTTTTTCTTTGAATAATATTGCATAAAAAAAGACATAAGATAAAATAATCAGTGTTTGCCTTAATAATATTCTATTTTTTCATGTTCAAATTATGACTTCAAATGAAATGTTGTTTCAATTTGGTTCTTGTCATTGTAAAGTCAATAGTTGCACAGTGCTTGTAAGTAGCCATCATTTGATTTAAAGGTCCAAATTTAGCATAATTTGTACGATGGTGTTTTGTAAAAAAATAATCCGATTGCGCAGTTGTCGATTTCTACTGAATCAATACGATGCGAAACTAATGTCGTTCGTTAGGCGAAAAGTCAATCTCTTTGTATACATTTTTCCAGGCATTTTTCAGTAATAAAACATTAATGGTTTGTAAATTATTGTCTAATTACAGAAGATTAGCATCTTGCATCGAAAAGTTAGAAAAATTCAACATTTATAGCATTTAAATAATTAAATAATTATCTAATTTGCAATGCGTATTATCCTATAAATTGGCAATATGTATGTGGTCTAAAGTGTAAAATATGGAACAATAAAATTTTGAAAACCAACATTTCCTTCACAAACACAGTCTCGTATGAAGTTTTAGGTAATCAACTGATACAGATTTTATATACAGAGTTTTACCTCGCTTTACAGTTATGCGGATTTTTTCGCAACAAAACCACAACTTAATTGTGGCAACCCATGATGCAAGAACAGTCGGTCGTCTTTTATTTACTAATTATACTAATCTACCTAGTGAATCATTAGTGAAAATACGGAGTGTGGTTAAACGGTAAAATTTATAAGTAAAATACTTCTTTATGTGACAACGCGACTAGAAAATATTAATTTTCCTGTAAATAAATATATTTCTGTTTAAATAGATCCTCAATTTAAAGTAATAACGAAATGCAGTTGGAAAGTAGTTGTGAAGAACGTCATTGTCTTGTATGTACCCTTCGAAAAAGACCTCAACGCAATGGAAACAAAAACTCTAAACCCATTTATTTCAGTACTGTGGTGGCGAATTTCCACTGGCAATCTAGCACCATTTATACAAACTTTCAACAAATTAAGAGCATTAGTACTACAGAAAAAATATAACTACAGCTAACAGTGATGTGTTTTCAATGTGTGACCCTTCAAGACGAATAAAAATAATTTTGATCGAAACATAATGCTATTTTTCAGACGGCGAATTCAGCAAGAAAGATGCATTTAGATTTTGAAATTGAAACATTAGAGAAAACGTGTCTTCTACATTTTTGTCTCAATTAATATTATCGATTTATTTTGAAAATCAAATGTTAAGGACTGTTGATCTTTTAAAACGAACATCAAAAATTGTCTTACCCTTTTTTTTCATTGTATCCGTATTGTTTATTCAGGATATGTATAGATTAGGATCGAATCAAAACAATACGTTGCTTAAATTAATGATAATTAATCGCATAACTTCAGAATGAACCATCAAAATAAGTATTCTCAGAGTTGGTTGGAAATGCTATCGAACATGAAGCTTTAGTGTGATAATATATTAGCTAAATAAAGGTCTGAAGAGCGTAAGTAGATAGTTCCGCTAGAGTACGGCAGTATGAAAATTGAAGTGCCATTAATGCGACATTACTAGTAAAACGCACACTTCTCTACCTAGCTCATACATGAATGAATGAGGAGACTTGAAGTATTTCATTACATGCAAAAAAAAGTGCGCATTTGGCTTGCTCATATACTGTCTGTGGCTATGGAATAGTTCTAGCGACGTTTCATCACTACCTACATAGTCATACAAATACAAATATGTAAAGTTGCAATTATGTAAAATTTCATGGAATTGTCACCTCACCGGTGAAACTCGCAGAATAAGGGGAGCATCAACACCATCATATCAACAATGTGGTACGTTGAACCCCTCATAGAATAGCAAATAGTTATGTTGAAAATAGCTTCAAGCCGAAAGATGAAGGATAAATTTAACAACTTGCATGCATCAAATCGGAAATTATGGTAGTGTTCAGGGATGCCAGCCGATTCAAGAAATTAATTTTCTAGCGTAGTTTTCTGTCCACATTGTTTTTCAATTTTATAAACTTCAAATGACCTACGTTAAACAACTTTTTGATTCCATTCGAAAGGCACGTTTAAAGTTCAACGTATAGCTGCGATTTTTCGCCACCAAATTGACTATTAGCTGAAACATAACGAGAGCGCAATTTGAACGCCATAGGCATTTTACCACCCCCATTATCCTACACAAATTCTTCACCACGTACATGAGCTTCAACGGATACACATTGGTCAGCTTGTCCAAATTGATTGCGATTGATCCATTGCGCAGGTCTAAAATGAATAAAGAATTAGTAAATTATATAAGCCAGAAAACCCAGAGTATAATATATTACCTACCTGTAAGGATTTGCTTGAACTTAGGGTAGAGAACTACTTCGGCCTAATCGCCCATTTTGGGCCTATCGAGCAGACAACTTCAAATAAATCCATGATTTCAGAGTTAACAAGTCAATTATGCGTTTGGTACGATACTTTAGTTAATAAGCTACCGAACGAAGTCAATGAGAACGCGTGATATGAAGGTTTGCACCCATTATTCCCAAAAACAAAAGAAGCGCTCCGACCGAATCAATTTTTATCTTCATCCGAAGTGAATTCATTGGCGTTTCAATGGCGTTGCAATGCGTTAGGCCGAGTTTAGAATCCGTAGGCCGAGTTTGGCCTCAAGAAGCAGTGTTAGACTTTTGACAATATCTCAACGATTGGTATCTCTTTATCAAATCTTACGGTACGTACGGAAAGGTAAATAAATTTGGAAGCCATCAGTAATAATAACATTCCGTTTGGTGCTAAACTGTGCTAGATTAAGAAAGACTAAGTGCGAGCTGTGCTTAATAGGCCGGAAATGGGGTAGTTACCCCTACCAGGATTTCAACGATACTTCTAGTTCTTGACTGCATTCTTGATTTCCTACAGAATTGTTTGCAACAGTCAGATATTTATTGTCTAGTTGAGGATACTGCAAAGTTGTAGCAAATCGTTCATAATATCCATTAAAAATCGTTGTCGCAAAACCGGAAGCAGGTAGCAAATCGACAGAGAGCATGCATAAAGGCGAATACGCGATGATCGATTCTCTTCATCGATTTTCTCTTTGCATTGCTACAGCTAGGCGAAACAATTTTCTAGAATTTGTTCAATGCAGAGTAGTAACAGGTTGTATTGGCTATCAAAAGCAACAGCAAACGCACCGAGAAACGTTAAATCTAGCGAGTTATTAACAAAAGAGAAAATCGACGAAGAGAATCGATCATCGCGTATAGGCCCTTATGCATGCTCACTGTCGAAATGAGCTTTTCTACGCGCAAACACACTAGGGGAAATGCAGCATCTAAGCGAACTACAAGTTTAAACAACGTTCTTCTTTGCCTTTATTACGTCCTTACTGGGACTTAACACCAGTTTTGGCTGCCTCCAAAGAGATACAATCAACATTTACTTATTCGATATTCGAAGGACCATCAACTATGCTCTCAAAAATATAAACTTTCAACAATCGAACGCAAATGTCACCAACATTACCTTTCGTTTAGACGAAACTTTGTGGCAACATGTCCGAGCAAAAACTTTTCTAGATTTAGTCTGTTTAGTTTCCCATAATAATTAATTTTGTAGTAACAAAATATTATTCAATGATAAGAGTTGTAAAATTCATCGATGATGGCTCCATAATTCCATTATTCTGCAGAAGCTTGATTTTTCAATCAACGCCTAAATTTCTGTTTCACCTCGTCATGGACATTGCTCTCAAATGCCTCTATAAATTTGAAGCTTTTAAAATATATTTTCCGACGATCAAGTTCGCAACACCGTCGACTTATTCAACGAACGATACAACTTTTTACCGATAAAAACTCGCTACCGGAAAAAAGCTCCCGTCCATTCGCCAAACAGCGATCGAGGTGCTTCGGAAAGCTTAGTCGACTTACCTATCGCAAAAGGAAAACCGATTCCCCCTGACGTTGTCGAAGTGGTTACGATCGGCTTCCTCCTCGCAGTAGCTGCAGTTACAGAACGAGTACTGCGAACCGTACAAGCTCGAATCATCGTCCAGGTCGGTAAAGTTAACGTCGGTGTCGAAAGCTTCATCGTAGTTGCTGCGGGGAGCACCGGAGTCTTCCGATGTGGTGGCACGAGATCTGTGGGTGGTGAAAAGAAGCTTCATGAGTGATATTGTGGTTCGTCTTTCTCTATGTAGGAGAGCCAGCAGCGCTGATGTAGATAAATTATCAATATAATGTATGCTTTCCGTTGGTCCAAATGACAAGTCAAATAATTGAGAAGTTTATTTAAAATAATCACCCTCAAAATTGATATTCGGGATTTATTCTGAGGCTACACTTATGATTTGCGAAGATTGCTCGGTTATAGGCTTGAACAAACTTGTGTTTATTTTGAATATGTCGGAGGCATATTTTATAGTGACATTGGCAACTGAGCGTCGACGTCTAACACCGATGGAGAAGAAATTCAACAGTTTTCACAGCAAGGCCAGGACTGTTGTGGAGTGTGCTTTCGGGCAGTTGAAAACGAGATAGAGGAGCATCTTTAATAAAGATTTGGAGCTTCGAATCTTTAATTCGGTCAAGGTCATTGTGGCTTGTTGCATACTCCACAACATATGTGTCGACGAGAACGACGTATTGGAAGCGGATTCTATTATTGAAGAGACGGAGCAAGCTGCTGACAATAGAACAGAACGGAACGAGTATGGTGAACCACCTGGAAGAGACACTGGAGAGGGAATGGCCAAATAAATTATCATTTGTTATGAGTGACTTTGGCATTGCTTTCGACTGGTAGACAATTTGGAACAAGATTTTCTCGAGGAGTAGAGAAGATACACCGTTTTAGTCGCTTAAAAACTGCAAAGTCGAGAAATCCTCTTCTGTTTAAAAAAAAACTTTTTGTATGGTTTCCGATACGTTTAGAGCTACAGATGCGTACTGTAAAAGCTCACAGTTAAAACTGACAATAAGCTTTATTGAATCGTCTCCAAAATTTGAAACTGCGTGAATTCAATAAATGTTTAAGCTCTGCTTCGTGACCAAGTCACTACTGAAGTGAGAGGAATTTCAACGAGTTTAGTTTTCTATAATCATTTGACGATCAGCTGTAAGCTGGATCGTATCCTCCATTTCTACGAGGCTGCATCGTCATTAAATATAAATTAAATCTTCAAGCACTAAACCAAGATCACATTTTCACTATTTTTGTAATATCTTCGGTAATTTTCTGGATGTTTTTTATCATGTATCATTATTGAAAAATAATCATCTGGATTATACGATGCAACAACAGAAACAGGTAGCGTGACCTACATATCAATTAAAAGTGTTCATTCTAAGAAACTGATCCTAGAGCTCCACGGCTTTTTTTTTCGATACACTTGGAAACGTCATTTATTAATTAATTAGGAGTCATAACATAAACATGTACCTAGAAGGTCATGGGACCGTCCTCCGGAAGATCTGGAACATCCTTAAAAATGGTCAATCCATGAAATTGATCCTAGAACTCAGCGGTTTTTTTAAAGCATTAGGAACTGTGATATAAGAAAAAAATTGGGGTCACGACATAAACATGGACCTGTATGGCCATAAGACCGTCCTCCAAAAGATTCGCAACATCCGTAAAAGTGGTAAATTCATGAAACTAATCCAAGAGCTCCGCGGTTTTAAAAGATACTAGGAGCTGTGATGATAGAATGAATTTGGGACCGTGACAAACATGAAAGTTTCGGAACATCCGTAAGGTGGTCAATCCCCGAAACTGATTTTAGAGTTCTAAGTTTTTTTTCGAAAGCATTTGAAACTGGGATATAATAAAGAATTTGAGGTCATGACATAAACATCGACCCAGAACATCCGGAAAAGAGGTCAACAAATGAAACTGATCCTAGAGCTCCTCAGTTGTTTTTTTTTTTTCAAAAAACATTAGGAACTGTGATACAAGAATTTGGGGTCACGGCATAAACATGTACCTGCATAGCCATTTGATCGTCGTCTGGCAGATCTGGAACATCCGTAAAATGGTCAATCCATAAAACTGATCCATTAGATAGACGTTTTTTTCGAAAACACGTGGAACTGTGATATAAGAAATAAATTGGGGGGTCGTAACATAAACATGGACCCGGATAATTGCTTAGCGCATATTAGCTTATTGCGTGCTCTCAGCTTAGTGTTCTAAATGCACTTCCACAGTTATTAATTGAGAGCTTTCGATGCCAATACCAATGCATGAATTTATATATTGTGTGGCAAGCACAATGATATTCTATGCCCAGGGAAGTCGAGAAAATTTCCAACCCGACAGATTTACTCGACCGGACCGGGAATCGAACCCGCCGCCTCCGGCTTGGTAATATCGTGCCTTTACTGACTAGGCTATGAGGCCCCTAAAGGTCTATGTTTACGTCCCGGACCATGTTTATGTCACGTCCCCAAATTCTTTCTCATATCACAGTGCCACGTGTTTTCGAAAAAATCCCGGAGTTCTAGGATCAGTTTCATGGATTGACCACTTTTACAGATGTTTCGAATCTTCCGGAGGACCGTTCCGTTGCCACCAGGATCCAGATATAGGAACCATGACTGTATTCTGGCTAATTATGAACATTTGTGCCCATTAATCTAATTTATGGATCTTAGACCACTTGCAAAACCCATAAACACTCCTTTAATAAAACATGTAACGACTCTTTTCGCTGTTGAATAAAGTAGACTACCCTATTTTTAATCTTTTTACTATCACAATAATCAAAACAGTCCCTAGGAATTCTAGAAGTAACATAATTTTTTAAATCCATCAAGAAATGGCTAAGTTATGCTGTTGCAAACTTGCCGTTACACGTTTTTCCGAGGCATCGCATTCGGAGTGTTAATATTATCGCAAATCATTTTATTTCGGACATCACTCAAACAGGCCGAGGGGGAGGGGAAAGTTTAAAATAATTCTGAGACCCTTCGGCCCATTTTTCCCGGTATCAAAAAAATCACCTTAGTCAATTTCAAATGTTTCGATCTTTTCCATACTTAGCAGCCACATTCGCCAAGAAAAGTCATCATAGCTGGCACGCACGTTTCAGTTACAGTCAGTGTTGTAAATGCTCTAAATAAATTGAACATTTTTGATGAAAATAAGAAAATCAGAAAATGGGTGATATCAGTTACTTAGTCATTTGACGAAGGCTTGGATCATTCTCATTTGAGAAACACTTCACACTACGAAAAAGGCATGTAAATTTCGGTGCCCTGAGACCGACACCGACACATGTAAGCGGCCCTTTTGACAAAAGAATCAGTTGGAAGAAACGAGAAAATCAATTCAATCAACCGTTCTCTTCGTTGACTTGCTTATGTTCCGGTTTGAGAACACTCAATTTTACATGAAATGTTTGTTTACGTTCCACGATTTACGTCCAATATGGATTACGTCTCGTGTAAAAGTAGTTATTTCTAAGTGTTTTGATATCATTCAATTGAGTGTAACCTACACATAAACGGAGCACTGGTCGACATTCCGGCGAAAGCTAAGCCAACCTGACTTCTACCAAACTCCAACCCGATGTTAACCCGATGTTGACCCGACATAAACCTAAAATGGACCCGACAACAACACGGAATTGGGTCGACATCGACCTTAAATTTGACTTACGTTGATCCGACATCGGATCGACTTGTCTGCTCGGGACCATTTTGCTGGGTTTCTTCCATACTCCACTGTCGTATATCGAATGATAATGAGTGACTCAATAGACAGTGACGATGAGCTTCGAATGAAAAAGATTCTTTTCAAATTATGGTCATGTGAGAATTCGTTTTCACAGAATTTATTGAATGATTGTATTGGTTCGTCCTCAATCGAATGATATTGAGTTGCAAAACACATCGCGTTCGATCAAGCTGACTGAATATCTGGAAGACGTGGTGTCAAATCAGCCTACTGATCATTCTTGTATGAAATTGGTTCCAAACGTAAACAAACCCTGTAGGTTTTTTATGGCTTATTGACGTTTGGAACCAGTTATGCGATTGTTCGTATTTGACAGCCAACTGCCAAGGAGGGCAGTTGGCTGTCAAATACGAACAATCGCATTAAGCAAGGGGGCTTACTACATGGAAGACAAAACATAGGTTTTGAACATTTTTCAAGATTACTAAGGCTGTGTTCCAATGGGGAATTTTCACTTGAATTTGACAGATGTAAAAACTTCAAATAAACCTGTTATTCCAGCAGACTTATTTCTGGCCGATCAGGAATCAATCTCGACAATCACCTTCTCAAAAATCGTACGATCAACAACAAAGGGATTTTTGAACACTATAATTTATTTTCGAAGTGTAAAGTTTAAGTGAAAATTGAACAAATGGAACACAACCTTAAAATATGTGATTCTCGGTAGGAAAAGTGAAAAATCGGTAGTTTTGAACCTTTCATCTGTGAATCGGTAGGCATCCCAAAAATCGGTAGGACTACCCTGGAAACCAATACCCATCATGCAACACCTCAAATTACATGGAAACTTGAAAACAGCTTACCATCAATCATACTGTCATTGGTCGATAGGTACAGTAGCAGCACCTCCCCTAACCGTGTCTCTTCGAGATCGTCAAGTCGACGATGACAAAAGCACATACAGGGGTAGAGGTAACAATAGCTGCAACTTCCAAACCTACGACTAGATGCCTCCCTTAAGATAACGACTTAAGTACGGTACAATTGCATTGGCGTACACATTGAGAAATACCTAATTTTACACGTGACGGAATCCATCTTTGACAAAAAGGATGAGACGTAAACAAACATGTCATGTAAAATTAAGTGCTCCGAGACTGAAAAGTTTGTTACTTGACGAAAAGTACGTTTGATTGAGCTGAATTTTGCGTCTATTATGACTCAATTTTATGTCAGAGTTGACGCTCGTATATGTCAGTCTCAGAGCACCTAAATTTACATGTTTTTTTTTTCAAAGTGTGTAGCTAATGGAGGTGCCAAGAGGGCCAGGCTCCCTCCAGAGTTTTTGGTTTTTTTATGACTCATCGGTATTTTGTCAAGCTTGTCATGTTCGATGTTACTATTAAACAACGATTAATAAAATTTGACCACAACCAACGATTTTATTTTAAAGTCATTT